CATTTATATTTTTTACAGCCTTTAACCTCTGCGTCTGCGTTTTGTCAACTCATTATCTAACCCTAAAAATTGGTGAACCATAAAAAATCAATAGATCGAAAATGTCATAAGTGATTTCCGACTACCGGTTGTCAATGCGATTCATTCCATTCAAGCGTAAAATAATTTCGAAAAATATTTACACAGTTCGTGACGAAAAAAATAAAGGAACAATTTCAACAGCTAATGGGCTAGCCATGTTTTCTGGTCTGCTTGAATGCTTCACACCAGAAATATATATATATGCCCAGAAAATGGCGTACATCATTGTCGGCTTAGGGTCTTCCTGGCCTGCTACCGAATCACAGAGATCACACACACACATATAGCAACACGGCATGGCGCTGGGGCAGCTGCTAAGAGGACGCATAAATTCCAGACGCCGCCGCCCTGGTGATTTGTGTGTGTTGCATACTCGTAGACCACATCAAAGATGATGCTAGGTGTGAGTTGGAGCAAGGGAAAGGTATAGGGTGGGCTTAAGCACACTTGAAGTATGTGCATGCTTGGCAAAAGGTTAAGAAAAAGGATTTGCCAGCTAGTAGTGCGCTCTGCCCCACTGTCAGCGACAAGGCTCAAGTTGCGGACGCTTCACGCCTCGAAGAGACGAGACGAGTCGAGACGAGGCGACTCTCAAGAAGCTGAGCAGAAGTTGGTGAAAATATGAAAAGTCGCCTGCCAAGTCATTTTCACATTTGAGTCGGGTTAGCTAAAGAGCTAAGCTTGTGGTTGGCTGGGTTGTTTGTGGGTTGTGTGGTTTATATGGGTTGTGGTCGGTGGGTGTTGGCGCATATGACAGCCGCTCCTTGTTTTTTATATTTTTGTTCTGCGTGCGGTTTTTCACTTGTGACAGCCACGTGTAATGCAATTATATTGAGGCAGGTTTTATGTCGCAACTTTTTCACTTCCCCCCAATCCGCAACACACGCTTTTTGCACTTTATGAAATTGATGGCGGATGTGACTCAATATGATGGCCATGTGGTGCCTGCAGCTGCAAAGTTGTAGACAGCTTTTCAGCTCGACTATTGATTACCCAAAAACTTTTGCAAAGTGTAATACAGCGGTAATCGGCAGATGATATATATATTTAGATATTTATACAACTTTAAGCATAAAGTTACGTTTATGTGCAACATATAGTCAAGGAAGTTGAGGAAAATTCCATTTACGTAATGTGCAAATTGCAAATAGAAAAGCTGAGACTCGGGGAATTATATATTACAATTTGAGTAAAAGTTCACATCAGCTTTAAGCTAATGAATTTCAAGGCAGCGTTCAAAGCGTAGAACAAATTTTAATTGCATTTAATTACATAAAATATTCAACTTAAGTTTTTGATTATAAGCTCCTAAGGGATTGTCTAATAAAGAACCCGTTTATTTATAGTTTCTTAATTATATTTTCATTGTCTTAGAATTATGTCAAGTCTACCCTATCTGAAGCAGAGTTTTTTAATAATTCACTTTAAAATTGCATTTTCTGCAATAAGCAGCAGTCTTCAACCGCAATTACGGCAAACAAAGATGTCTTGTCTAAAACACACTTATCGGCATTGCAGACCCAAAAGCACACACACACACCCAAATAGACACACACACAGAGAGCAGAAATTATAGCAACAGGCAGCAAAGATAATTGCCAAACTTTATTAACGGATAGAAAACGAGGCAGGGTAAGCGGCAGTTGGACACTGGCTGCAGCAGGCGAAAGGAGCAAAAAAGGAGTTTCGAATTGCGCGCCCATGAATATGAAATGAAGTCGACTTCTGGACACAAAAAGCAGTGGGGCTGCCCTGTCTGATCCCTCGGTGCAGCGTCTGGGTTTTGGCCGCCGGTCCCAAGGTACACATGGGGGGTTGGGGTGCCATAAACAACAATTTATGTGCTTTAATGAAAATTGGTTGAGAGGCGGCTCGTTTGGCGTTTTTAGACAGGGCGCAAATAAATTAACTTGCCTTACTTCTCATGCCTTTGGGGCTGGTCCAGCCCAAATGCAAATGGCAAAGCCTCCATGTTAACACCTCGCAGGCAAACTGGACAAATCCCACTCCAATAGGCTGGATAAGCAAAAATAAAAAGGAACTTCAAATACAAATTTTATGCGACTCGCGAGACTTGAAAAAGCGCAAATATTTTCAAGAGTTCATAAATTAACCGCGCGACACGTGAAATTTGTCAGTCAGGCGGCATTTTTATGCAAAACCGAAAGCGAAATGAGCGGACGGCGCGAAGCAGGGCCAGAGACACGGGCTAACAGGCAGGATAACAAAAACGCATATGGAAATTTTATGCAAATTTTCACTGTAGCCGCAATTTGTAACAAATTTTCACGTGAAATTGTTTGAAAACGTACCACACGCACTCACATACATACACTTACACACACACACAAGTTAAGAGACATCTTTCGCACTGTTTGGCTGCGGGCGGAAAAACAGAGCATACTTTTTGGGGGCAGCAAACTGAGCAAATTTAATTTGCTGTGCGGCACAAAATCAAATTGCATAAATGTCAATTTCGGTTAGGCCAAAGGACGGTGGAAGAAATTTGCATTTCTGTGTAGATATAATAGTTTTTAACAGTGCTTAAAACAAAGTATTTTGTCATAAATTCTACAGTGTATTTAATATTTTAAGCTTATGTACAAATTAAGCTGTTAAAATGAAGAATGAGGAAAATGTGAACTTTTTTGACAGTCTCTTGCAAAAATTTCTGTTAGCATAAGAATTGGAAAAATGTGAATTTTCTCAGGACTTTTTTAACTGCTTGTGCTACACATATATAAATATAAATATTTCTGTTAGCATACGAATTTGGAAAATGTGAACTTCCAGAGAACTAAATAACGTATGCCGTACAAATTTTAAAAATATTTCCCTTCGAATTGCCGAACTAAATAATAAAATTATCATATAAAATAATAATAACAATAAAAGATAATTATACCAACATTTGAATATTAATTTGGAGTTTCCTCTACATAATGAAATAAAATTATTTGTTCATATTTATATGAACGTGAGGGAGTTTGAGATACAAAATCTTAAGATTTCGTATACATTTTAATATATACTTTTAAATATTTTAAATTTTGGCTTCAGTGAAAACACTCAAGTCCAACCTTCTTATGACAGTTTCCATGTTTTGAGTAATTTATTTTATGACCTTAAAATCATTAAGTTTATCCATAGTACGCAATAGAGAGAAAGAGAGAGATAGAGTGAGAGGAAAAGAGGAAGAACTGAAGCGCGGCGCTGTAAAGTGCAAAGTGTCGTCTAATATTTTAGTTGCCTGCGGGCGCTTGAGTATTTAAAGTGTTGCCACATTTAAGTGCCGTTCGCTGAGCTGTGCAACTTTCAACTCAATTTCCTTTGCCAATTTCTAGAAAAGCACTTTAAAAGAGACCATAAAAAAATAGAGGAAGCCGAACACGCGAAGCGTTTCAGTTACCAATTCTAAGCTGCAGCTGAAGCTGACAAAATATTTTGATTACTTTTGCACATTGGCAACACTTCAAAATGTGCGTCCCGCAGCCCCCTCTTCATAGACGTAAAGATAGGGAGCGAGACGCGCTCGAGCATATTTTGAAAATAAATATTATTGTAGTAAAGTTGTCGGCGAATTTGTCGCAAATGATAAGGACACACTGAGAGCCAGACAGACAAGCAAGGACGAGGGGTACCGGGCGACGGACAGCCACAATGTCAGTGCTTGTCGTTGTCCTGGCCATCGTTGTCCTGGCGGCTCCTTGTGCCTTGTCAAGTGCGGAAGTGCAGTTCCGGCGAGTGCTGCCTGTTGATGACACTTTGATGCTTTGGCCAAAAACAGCGCAGCAGCAGCAACAGTAGCTGCAACTTTGACTTCGGCTTCAGCTTTAATTAATGTGCGTGCTGTTTGCGCCTAAAAGCTGGCTATAAACAGCAGCTACCAGCAGAAGCAAACGAGACACATCGAAAGAAGAGCATAAGAAAGGCACCTCACACACAGCGCCCAAGAGCTGTGCACGCACAGCATCATCAACAGTCCAAGGCGAACATCATTTTCTACCATAAAACTTGGCCTGAAATGTTGGCCTCCCAGCCCGAAAAAACTGCGAGCTGTCTGCACTTAATGGAAAATGTCAGTTCGCCTGCAGCGTCAAACGTTTTATTGAAGTTTCCACTGAAGCGTCCAAGTAGCAAGTAGCTCCCCGCACCCACCGACTACCTTTTGCCACTCGCATATCCTGTTTTTCAGTTTATTTTTTCATTCTCTCCTGTGGCCAGCAGTGCGCAGCAGCTTCGACCGTTAAACTTAACGAACCGGAAGCGCTAAAAGTGAAGCAGCCAGAAATAGCTGTCAGCACAGAACCCCAGAGAGACCGAGCGTGTGGCAGGGGGGGGGGGGGGGGGGGGGGCATCAGCATAGCTCCTTGCTGAAATCTTACAAGTGCGGAAATCTGATGATCTTTTGAGCAAATTGCAATCACCAAACAGTCAGATGAAACATTATGTATTTTTAATGTGGCATTATTTTCAATTGCACTTATGCTGGAAAAACATCAAGTTTAACCAGACAATTTATCCACGCACATTAAATGCAAGTGCTATTCCGTAAATGGAGATCACATTTGCTCGTTTTATGCCACAACAAAGCCTGTCAAAGGTTAACTATAAGAGCTGCAATACACTGCGAGAAACCAAACGCATTTCACTAGAATAAATAATGGCATACCGAAGAGATAATACCCTGACAAACAAGCTCTATTTTCGAGCGATTTTTCTCATTTTAGAACGATTAAACCCCTAAGTCCAAGTTCTTGCAAAGTTGAACTTGCAAAATTATCTACATGAAATACTAAAAGCTAGTAAAGAGCCTGTGGAATCATATTCAATAAATCAAAGAGCATGTTGAGAAAACGTTGTCAAATTTTGAAAATCAACATTAGCTACGAGCTTTTCCTCAGACACCTAGTCATTCCAGTAAAACCAGTAACAAGCATAGTAGTTAACAATTTTTGAAAAATATATATAGCATCTAGAAATTTTTTCTTTTTGGTTTTCAATGTTCAAGGACTATAAATAATGGATACCAAAATTAAGCAATCGAAGAAAGTCGAATCGAAATTGCCCACTGAAATATTAGCTAAGAATATGGGCAGCGAGAAGAAGATCTATAGCACAATGTTCGAGATCTTTGGCCGCGTGCAAGGTAAGTGTTGAATAAATACACTAAAGTGCAACAATTTCTAACACACACAAAACACAGGCGTATATTTTCGTAAGGTAAGTTTGCGTTAGATATGTCCATTGGAGCCGATTCTAAACAGCATCTTTGGGCTCAAAGCACACGCAAATCAAGGCCAAGCAGTTGGGCCTCAATGGCTGGTGCATGAATACCAAAGAAGGCACTGTCAAAGGCATCATGGAGGGACCTCAGGACATGATATCTGAAATGTGAGTGCTACCGCTGCTCAACATCTATATACATTTATTTAAATTAATCGTTGCAGGCGCTTATGGCTACAGCACAAGGGCAGTCCACGTTCCATAATCGAAAAAGCCGTTTTTACGCCCAACGAGCCAATTCCCACATACAATTTCAACGCATTCACCATAAGGCGCTAGGGCAAAAATTCTAAACCGACAACTGTGCATGTCTATGTTCGTTTCAAATATATATATATATTCTAAAACTCCACTACTGCTTAATTATGTCATAAAAATAAATACAACTAAATCATATATATTTTTCTCGCCTTGCGAGCAACACATGTCGTATGCGCAACGTACGTGTCAGCACGTTTGCCGCACGCGGACTGGGATTTTGGGCGTGGCAAACAACTTTTGTTGCCGTACACAATAGCCATAATACGGCCAAAGCCAAGCCACAAATGGCCAAAGTTGTCTAACAAAAAAAAAGTATATAAAGTTTTTGACCAGCAGCCGCTCGGGGAATTCGCTCGACAATATTGGCACGTGTCGCAGCTCGTAGAACGCGCCATTTGTCGTCCAATTAGCTGGCTGAAAATATTTGAAATAATAGAACGTATTTTCGTTTTCAACATTCGCAACAAATACACAACGAAAATTGTCACAATATCGTTTTATTTCTGTGCGGCCATCAAAATATTTTTGCCACGACTCAAAAACTGGTCAAAAGTTTGCGCCACTTTTGCCAATTTAGCAGCAAATATTGCCGAGCCCCAACCGCTCGGCCTTTGGCAAATAAAAGGAAAAACAATATTTGCATAAATAAAAAAAAGTTGCCGACTTCCAAATGTAACAGTTGGCGCTTGACTGCAATTAAAAACGGCTGCGCAACATTTGAAGTGGGCGGAATTCGGGTTTGTTTTTATAAAAGCGCATTTGGCCCCGACTTTTTTGCCGGCTAACTGCCTGACTAACTGGCACTTTATTATAAACTGTTAAAACCGCAACAATTGCAACAAAAGCGTTGCCAGACCGCTGCAGCGGTTTTACGGGCTTTGCTTGCGCATTCCAGAAAACAAATTCAACTCAATTTAGTAAAAACGATTTTTTTATAATGTTGTTACCTTTTTATTTGAATTTCTATGCAAAGAATTGAATTAAAATATATTTTTATACCTAAAAAATTATTGATTAAAACAGGGAATGCAATTTGAATTGGTATTCAGCAAATAAATTCGGAATATATATTGAACTGCATTTTGACAATTTGTTTGTTTATGACAAACGCACAAAATTGAAGTACATACATTTCTAACATATTTAACGACATTTTTATTTCGGCCAAGAAAAAGAGAATTGAAAAACGGAATGAAATATGTTTTGGTTTTTCGCTGCGTAAAAACCCCCCAAGAATGTGTTTAAATATCAGAAACAAAACTGCACGCAAACATAATTAAAAATTTGATTCGGCTTGTGGTTCTTGTTCTTGTTATTGTTGTTGTTGTCGCCTCCGATGCCGAACATTAACAACTTTTCGAGGCCTCATATTATCCCTAACCAGCTCCTTTTGAAGCAGCTGCTTGAACAGCAACATTTTGCGCCTGGTCTCCGGGCTGCCAATGGCCGAGCTGAACTGCAGACCCGGATTGGGACTAGGTCTTTAAACAGGTAATAAGCACACTTCCGTAATTTATATCTACTTAGTTTTCTTTAAAAGACTCACTTATTTTTGTCTGACATTTGAGGACCTCGAATGTTTTTTCCAAATTCCTTTCTGAATTTTTCTTGGGTAGAATTTACTTGACTAAAATTTTGATCTAACTGAATAGCTTAGCCAAAGCAAATCAGTACCGATGGCTGAAAAAAGTTTTTACATTTTTCTCCCAGGCTACTATAATATTATCTCTGCTGAGTAATGGATAAATAAGGATCCGCAATTTATCGGAAATATGCACCGTGCACCTTGACCTCATTACGTACTGGGTGAGTCGGAATAGACTTGGGCCTTACCACAAAAACACAATTGCTTTTAAAATCAATATTAATCGACTTGACAAGTATCGATAAGAATCGGTAGAAATATATTATATCTCTTCAAGTATCGATCAAAAATGTCAGAAATAAAACATACTATACTTCTATGGACAAGGACTAAATTTTATACATTATTATTATGACATATATTATAGATATATTTCTTTAACCCTTTCAACCCATTAATGTTTGTTTTTTTATAAATTTTAAATGGAAGCAGGGTAGCAAAACACAAAAATGAAGACATTATATTTCGTAATTTGTATTTCAAATTCAAAGCAGGCAAACGGCAACGCGGCACGCAAATAGATAAAACGCAGCCGACAAACCTTTGGCTTGGCATGAGTGGCACGGGTTGATATAGCGGGGGGAGGGGGAATATATTGTGTCGATAATCAATTCCGTTTTCCGGCTGATGCTTGAATTTTTCCTGTTTATTTCTGTTGTGTTGTTGTTGTTAACGTTTTCGCGTGCGTGACCCAAAATATATGCATCGACATTTTCAAAATATACATAAAATTATTGTAATCATATTGTGGCGCGAGGCAAACAAACTAAAAAGGCGAGGATTAGCTGCCACACGATAGGCGGGTGGGCGTGGCATAGCATGCATGTGCTGTTAACTGAAATGTCGATTGTTTTCCTTCTCTTTTTTGTTTTTTGTTGGCTACTCGCGTGCGCATCGCTTGCATGTGGCATGGAAAAGGTTCCATTAGCGTTGATAACGAGTTCATTGACGAGTTCATTGGCACATTGATGCCTATTGATTATCGACTCGCAAAGAGCGAATAGCGGTTAATGTGACGCCCTCAAATACCCGTTGAAACCTGGCTAATCATGACGTCTATGCCATAGGCGGGGATAGGTGTCAAAATAAATTGAATGCAACTTTGTGTTTTAGGTGCGAAAACTATTTGAACATTTACCAAACTTGGCTATAATTTCAATAATATGCCATATATCACATCTAATTACAATTGTTTAGAGCATGTTTATAATACACGTATAAATGGCTTGTATTCAATGAAATATACACTCTGGTCACGCTGGCTTGCATTCAACGATCACACTGGCAGCTGGTCCCATAAATGTTAGAGATTATGTTAAGCATTAGTGTTAAGAAAAGTTAGTCTGCGACAAAACACTGACACTAAAGGAAGAATATTTTCAGACGTACATATACTTAATGTAAATAGTATACAGAATCATCCTGTCTTTGCTTTGCTTTAGATTATAGCTAATTTAGCATAGTATTTTTATATGCTCGCTATGGGCCCTAGTCAATTGGCAAGTTAACAAAAATAAATCTATGAAAAATAAAAAATACATATAAAACTCACTTTGCAGGTTTTTTTAGTAACGCTCATAAATGCGCCATTTACAATATAATAAAATTGAATGATTTAATATTTTTTTTATAGAAATATAAAAATAGTCTTTGTGTAACATGGATAGAAAATCCATTTAAGCCAGATAATTTAATGAAATATAAGCTCGGTTAAAAAAAAATGTTTATTGTTATGCAGAATGCGTTCAGTGTGACCAAATGTATTTTTATTTATTTTTTGTGGATTTAATGGTATTTAAAAGAAACAATTGAAGCCAATAAAATCCATTAATTTTTTCTGTTGGTTTGTTTCAGGCTTTCTGAGACCCTTTGATCTCCTTTAAAGTTAAATTTAATTTTTTTTTTTAACACAAAGAGTTACATTGTTAGGCTTGTGAAATGTTACTAATTACGATTACCATAATAATTGTATTTAACTTTCGATAGTATTTAAAGTAATATATATTTATATTCAGCTGTTACCAGAATGAAAAAATAGTGAATATAAGAGAAGACTGACTGAAGCTAATCGTAGATCGTGCGTAAAAAAAGTTAGTGCAAATTATATCTATGTTACAAGTGAACGACTATGAAATTAGGTAAGTACAAATACGCTTTGTAAGAAATTAATTTATGCGCGCTTTGAGTATGGCTTGATTCAATGCCTCATATTTGGATTATATGTTGATAACGATTTAAATCTAAAACTATCGACTTTATAGATTCGTAACATTCAGAGTGGTATGATATGCTTGAGGCTTAATAAAGGAAAAATAGTGCAGAGCCAGACCGCATCTGGCAGCTTATTACAAATGCAGACCATGTTCGTCGCGCAATGCCGAGCAAGACAAAGCCGTGCAGACTGCAGCCAAATCTCAGTCTAAGGCACTGGCAAAGCCCCGACTTTGCCAGCATTGTCCACATGCTCAGCCACTAGACTGGGCTCACTGAGAAGAGAGAAAGATAGGGAAGATAAGAAAGCAAGAGAGAGAGAGAGATAGGGAGATGCTGCCTAGAGTCTAGACGCAAATCCATTTGCCACAACTGTCAAAATTGGCTTGCGCAAATGTTGCATGATGAACTCTGCCAAAAAATATACATATATATTTTCACAAAATTTCTATACACTCACTATTTTCAGCGCTAATTTGGCACGCATGCAACAAGCGGCACGTTTGCCTGAATGCCACGCCCACAGCGTATGCAGCTTGCATGTTTGGACGCAATGTTGCGTGCCAATTTGATAAATGTCGCATTTGATTAGCGGCCTAAGCTCCACCTTCCACTCTCCCCCCTTCCCCCTTCTAGCCACCAACTACCCAGCCACCTGGCAAGTCGATCCAGGCGAGGGCTTTGCATGCGGCAATTGAGAAATTTTCACAATGCAAACTTTGGCCAAGTTTGCATAATAAATGAGCGCGCGATAAGAATACATTGAAACGCTGAAAATCTTGTTTTGTTTAACATTTTATAGCATACCTAAAGGCGCTTGAACGGAATGCGCTCCATACAAAACTTTTCGTACTGTTGCGGCCCCAAAACTTGTTACAGGCAAATACTTTTCGAATTTTATTTGTGGGCTTTGATTTGTTGCACAGCCGGGCCGGTTGTAGGCAGTTAACCCTAAATGCCAAAGGGCAAGTGGCAAAAGTTTTGTGGCTTTGAAGATTTCCAGTTCGCTCCCCCCGATGGGGTCTTTGAATTAGGATACGTCAAATGCCACTTGCATGCCACGCGGCTGAATTTTTCTCAAGATATTTATGTATATATGATGCGAGCTTTTGATAGTTTAGAAACTCTTGATTAGTCAAAGGATAGGCTTTAATATGCGACACGTTAATTGCGTGGCTACATGGCTTGATATGTCTAATAAAAAATCGATAGACCATGAAAGTTAGGATC